GCGCGAAAAATTACGTAAGAAAACATAGTTAATCTCTGCGTAATCACACAAACATTTTGTGTCAAAAATGTTTTTCTTTGTGTGACTACACAGAGATTATCTCGGTGAAAAAAAAACGTACGGCGTTAAAAAAAATATATTTTGAAGATAAATGTTGACACTTTCAGATGGCGTAAACAAAAGTAGAAAAAAAAATTTACTTCGCTAGCAAAAAAATCACAAATATGTCAAAAAATGTCAATTTTGACACCTTTAACCTCACTTTTCTCAAAAACCTGACGTGATAGAGCAATTCTGCCGCCGGATTCGGATTCAGCGCGAAAAATTACATAAGAAAATATAGTTAAATCCCAATCAACAAAACCATGCAGGCCTGTGTTATCGTTAACTTAATTCAATTACAAAATATATGTAAACTCAAAACTTATGTTTTAATTTAATTATAAAAGTTATGCAAGTTCGACAATTATATGTACTTTAATTCAATTATAAAAATTATGATTATGTTTAACTTTAATTATAAAAGTTCATATAAACTCAATAATTATCACATTTTTTGTAATTTACTTTAGTAATAAAACGAAATTCTATTTAAAATGATTTCCTTTAGTTAATTTTTAAATTTAAAAGACCTCGTACTCTCGCCGTTTCCCAAGGATCCCACCTGATCCATTCCCGAGTTACAAAGATTTATTTCTTTGACTCAAAATTGGACCGACATACGCACTGTTCAAGGAAATAGGCGTTATAGCGTCCCTTCAGGACGTTGACCCATATTCCGGAGCGATAGGAAGTGCGTCCGACTCTCAGGTGTTCGCCACTGCGCGTATACCTGCGAGATAAAGTCTAAACGTCCTTCCATACCCTCTACAACTCCATCCTTGTCTCTCCCGTTTAAACGTATTTCCAAAGGCTTGGACGTAACATTCCTTTTATTTTATTTTTGTAACCTTTTTTTTCTTTTATTTTAATGTAACTTTCTTTTTCTTTTTTGATTTTTCTTCGTCGTATTTCAATCTCTTAACCTTAACATACAAGTAGCGGATTTTTAGTCCTAAACGAATTAAGTGTTTACAGCACACTAGAAATTTTTGATTCGCGTACCAACTTGGTCTGAGGCGTCATCTACAATACACGGAGTAAGAAGTAAGAGTAAAAAATTGACCAATCACAGTCGAATGTGAGAAGAATAATCGACTGTGATTGGTCAATTTCTTACTCTTACTTCTTACTCCGTGTATTGTAGACGACGCCTGATACTCGTGATCGGGAGTACCAGACTAAAGTAATCCTCTAGCGTTTACACCGAGCGTATCAAATGATTTGATATGGATATGGTACTTAATAAGCGTATCAAGTACTCGATGTAAACTAGAGACCCTCTAATCAGAGTCGCGACACGAGAACAGCCAATTTTGATTGGTTCGTCATTTTTCAGCAATCCCCGCCAATATTCGAATGTCAATATTGGCTGCGTTCGGGAACGTCGCTCTGATGCCTCGGCTTCATCATCTATCCTTATTTAACACTTAACGTTAAATAAGGACGGATGATAAATCCGAGGCATCGGAGGCATCCGAGTGACGTTTCCGAACGTAGCCATTATAGGCGATATGCGTATTGATACGTTAAAAATCGTTTGCAAACTAATCTATTTTGTAAAGAATCAATTTTTCCAACCAAAACAAGCATAGAATGATAGAAATAGCATTAATAGCATCTCCCTGAACGCACATTTTTTCCAACATTTGTCGTCCATAATGCTCGACATTCAACATCACGCGGAAATATTTTCATTATGTAGCCTTTGGCTGCAGAATTATTGCAAAATGGGGCTGCACACCCAACCATTTTGCAATAATTTTTAATAATGTTCTAAAAGTCGTACTATAGAAAGACG